AGATACAGGGAGCGCATAAGGACTCTTGTGTTCAACTCTGTTGCATAGGAAGAGTTTTTGGACGGGCAGCATTACTGCATCATGTAATTGCAGGATTGATGGTCATCTCCAAAGTGAGTTGTGCACATTTATGTATGTGCAGTCACTTCATTAAATCTTCATTATTGCATGTTTTTCCTTACATGGAAACAGGATCTAAAGGTACAATAAGATTATGCATACACAGACAGAAGATTTGGTTTGAAAATACATGGAAAACGCAAGAACTTTACATGATTATCAGTAAATTGTAGGTTAGATGTGTAGGCATTTGCTGCAGCACACATCACAGACATTTGCTGCACTTTCTCAGCTTCGTTACTGTGATGCACAAACTCTTTTTCACCTCACACGTCATTCAATCGTTAAATCATAACCATAAAAACTAAAATGCATTAAATGTTTCTTTTTTAAATGTTTGTTTCTGTCTCAGGAGTTTGGAAAGAGCTACTGTTCTCCAGCAAATCAGCTGTGAACTCCCTGCTCTATAACAGTCCCATTTAAATAAAGCTGCATATGTGTGTCTCTGTGTGTGTTCTTTAGAGACTCCTCTGACCCTGGCAGTGCAGTGTGAGCCAGGTGGAGGAGAGGCCATCCGGGTCCTGGTGGATGGAGGAGCTCATATTGACTTCCGTGCCAAAGATGGACTCACACCGCTACACAAGGCTGTTCGAGGCCACCACCATACAGCCCTGCTGGTAAACATTTGCATATGTTGGAGTCCTTTCATACTGCTATCTGCCTGTGGAAAGTGATGATTTTACATGTATTATGTAACAAAAAGAGAAAAACCATCAACCTAGAACAGGGTGTATATCTTGCAAGATGGATATTTGCCCTGAAAGTGACACTGTATTCTCCTCATTTGCGTTGCTGTATATCTAAACAAGCTAAAGCCCGAACAAAAAGACCCTCCCACTCAGCGATCCACACCCACCCACACACAATATGCAAACAAATAACTCTATTATTTTCTTGAGGAGAAACTCTTCTCTTACTTTGCCACTAG